GAGTTCTGAAAAAAGTGCTTGTATCTTTGTGGCTATTTACTTGAGTATGCGGTAGAATTGTGGGGGCTGAGGTAGTCAGTCTGTAATTATCAGTTTGTTTTGTTTAAATTTTGAACAAAATAAGTGATCTGGTTAGTTACTTCAGAGATAAAGACCCAAGCATGGGTTCTGAGCATGGCCTGAATGCTTTCACTTACGGCAGCAAAGTGAAGCAACAAAAACATGCCTCTGAATAGGAAAAATCCCATAGCATAAAGTTACACCCACTTTTCATCTCTTTGCTGAGAGATTCCATGAAAGAAATTTATAGAAAGATCAGATTATGTAGGCCTTTTGTCACAGTACAGCTGGTCTGTAGCTGGATGGATATATCTGGCCATAATAAGAAACCAAATTTGACTCTCCTAGTTCAATAAACAAGTCCCTGGGTGAGCGATGATAGGATGGATTTGAGCACATATGAAGGATCACAACCAGTCCCATTTGATTCTGAGTGCAGACATCTTACTGGTCACAGAGCTGGGCAGTGTTAGGACCCAGACCAGTGAGCTGTCTAAATCCAGGAAATTCAAATCCCCTGTAAAAAGAGCTGGTGTAATAAACTCTTTGCTGTTTGTCTTACGATGATCAGACTGAAGTCATGATTCTGTCTCCAACCCACGACCACACATAACAGCCTTTAATACTTCTTTTCCTGCAAGAGATCTGTTTTATACTTAATTTTTTTTTTTTTTTTTTTTTTTTTTTTACCTAAGAAACATAATAATTTAACTAAGAAAAGCTCTGTATTATTACTAGGATGTTCTGTACTGGAGAGAGGGAGGTCATTTAAAATTACCCTGCATAGCTCCACTGTGTGGCCTGGCCAGGGCAGGGTGGCTGAGGAAAAAATTTACGTCCATCATAATCCTATGGCATCCTCCAGTCTCTTCAAATACATTGACTACAGACTCCTCCAAATTTAGCTTCTGCCATAACATCCATAATGAATTTTTAAAAAAAAATAAAAAAATATTTGTCTACTTTTGTGTTAGAATTTTATCAGAAACTTTGAGTTCAAAAGGGCTATCTAATAAAATATAAATGAAATATAGGTATGGTAGTATCCATCACGTAAGCCCTATCTCCTAACATTATGTAAAGAGGGTCAAATTTTGCCATAAGATCAATTTTGCCTCCAGATCACCTCAGTGAAATTAATGTACAACTCTGGTCATGGCAATGTACAACTCATAGATTTCACAAAGTAAAGTAAAGTAATAATGTGATTATTGACAGTGGATTATACTGGATGTTCAAGCAAGCCAAGAAAGATTATCTTTTCAGAAGAGTGCAGTTCCACCCAGCAGGGAAAATATTGCACTTAGCTGTCAGAAGAGAGGTTTGGTTAGGCCAGTTGATGGAAGTTAGGGGCTGATGCTCCTGCTGACTCACCTCAGCTCCTCCTAACAAAAGTATGAATTTTGCAATCATGCCAGCTGACAAGCTGTTTCATCTCCATTTGCCTGCCAGTCCTTGGGTCTTGCATGAAACTGTGGCAGCACAGCAGTAACCTTACACACCCTACTAGGACCTGAAGTATTTTAGGTGATGCAAAATACAGGGTATGTGATTGCAGAATTTTTTTTGAATGCCAGATAGGCAGAGCCAGAGTAGCTTTTGATTCTTCTGTAATGTAAGTATAGTCATCAGACTTCAAAGGCTGTTCTATGTGAACTTGAGCAACATCATATAATCCTTACATCCTTAGTCCTGATGGTGGGTTTCATACTGTTAGTCAGCAGCCAGCCCTCAAGGGTGCTGCAGTCAAGGTCTTCAGAAGGTTGAGCTCTGAGGAGAGGGCAGAGACATTCATCAGAAAATGAAACTCCCTCCTTCTTACCCAGCCCAGTACTAGAATGATGGTATAATTTCCTATTTGTTCTGTGGAGTAGGATCTTACACCTGGGCATTACACATGGGAAATACAGCTGAGAACCTTGCAAATGGATTTATGCCGTGGGAAATGACATTGTGGCCCACACTTGAATTGCATAGCGTTTTCTTTGCCCTTTTTGTAAAAGCCAGAAATCTACTAGAAAAAAATCAAAGGGAAAATAACTTAAAAAATAAGTTCTTTTGAACTTTTTAATGAAATTCAGTACATGCCTACTTATTTCTAAGGAGATTTGAGAGATGGAGATTTGAAAGTTTTATGTAATCTTATTTGGTGAAATAACTGTGTATTTAAAACATGCTGTACATATGTCATAGGAAAAAAGCTCAGTAGGATTTTGTATGCCCTAGGTAAAAGAAAAGTATCACAGAAAATGAAGAGGTTAGGGAGGGCTCTGTGTCTGCTAAATAAATATCTATTATTCCCTGTAGTTAACTTCTGTAAAAGGTATCTCTGGGAATTAATGCCTTCACTGGTGCTTGTGGTCTGGCTAGTCTCAGTGACACCTGGATCTGAAGGTAATTTCTCAATAGTTATAATTAATGTAATAAAAACTGGAGTGATTTTAAGATTGCAAGGTGACTGGATTTCAGCAGCGTTCGAAGTCGTTCAGATCAGTTCATGTAGATCTTATTTTCACAGCCATGTGCTTTGCTGTCCAGCCCTCAGTTGTGCCCATTGTTTAGCACAAGTCCAGTGCCCCATGTCACCTCCCAGGGATGAGACATCCGAGCCTGGCAGAGACCCCCCTCTCTGCAACGCAGTTGGTGTTTCCAAGGAGGAAGCTGACTGTCAAACATTGATACAGTTAGTTTTGCAGCTTGCCAAGCTTTGGCACGAGCTATAAAAACAACAGCACTTCCCCAGCCTGAAGGAAGACAAAGCCAGTAAAGGATTGGAATTGGTGTGAATTTGATGATAACATGCACAGAATGTGCAATGTGGCAAAGGCGTGCACCAAGGAAAAGGTGCAGCACACATTCAGCCCTGGCTTCGTGACATACCCTCTGCAGCATGTGCAAATGCTGTCCTAGGAAATGAATAATAGCAAAAATGGGAATAGGGTAAGAAAGCAACTATATTATATTCAGGATTCCATAGCCACTAAAAGCTTATTGATGTGTGCAGTTGTGTTTTGCTTCTAGTGATCTGTTTCAAGTGCTTATATAATTCTTTGGATTAGTATAAATGAAATGTACATTCATTAACTATCAGTCTCATTGAACTGTGTTCCCTTTTGTTGTTAATAACTCTCTAAATAATAATAATGTGCAGAAGCTCAAGCCAGGAGCAAGAGCACTTATCTAGAGATGTCAAGGCTGCTTTTTGTTGTACATGGCAGTGATCGGTCTCACTTTAAGAATCTCAGAACTTTGACCTTAACTCTATGTGATCTGACTTGAAGGACCCTTTTCAAAGTATTGTCATGGTCCCTTGATGATTTCTAGACCACAGAATATGAAACAATCCAGGCTTGAGATCTCACCAGTGACACTAGAAAGCTTACAAGTACACTTCTAATACCTCTTCTGGGGGGTTGGTATGCACTGCCCTGTCTCCAGAGTCCAGATCTGATGGTGAGTCAGTGGTTTGAGATGCAGTAAATTTCTCACAAATACTGTCACCTCACTAATTCAGTAGTAATGCTCTCATTTTCTTGATTTGTATCTGTAGTTTGGTGACCCTGGAGTGCACAGATCTGGAATTAATGACTAGATAGGCAGCTTTGCATTCTTGTGTTAGTTTCTCTAAGCTCTTGACAGGAATCCATTCAAGGCTTGGGATTTTGTTGAATGTTTATAATTTAACTTTTCAGCATGCAAGGGAGACCTGTGACCAAACACATGGGAAATGGACTTCAAGATTCCTGGTTGTAGTGAAATATTTTCCTTGAAATATTTACAACTGCAGAATAAAACCATGTACTTTCTTTATGCAAGACCCATTCTAGATCACATTTATTTCTCCTGGGAGTCTCTGAGGTTCTTACATGGTTCAGGAAGAGCAAATATATTGCATTTTCGGCTCCTACTGTGAGCAGATCCTACTCAGAGCAAATTGCTGCATGTGGCTAAAGAGCTGCTGCTCAGGTTTTGCTCTCTATGTGACAATTTCAGGTCCTCAGTGGAGGTCATCCTGAATCCATATTTTAGTGGGTTATCAGTCCTCCCTGCTGAGTTACTTCAATGCTAAGGCAACCTCTTCCTTGAAACAATTTGCCCTTCTCAGTAATTGAATTGCCCTTCTAGGTAATTGTCTAGACTAGTGCAGTACTATCATGTTATACTAAAATGAGATCCACTGTTACTCTCTTTCTCCAGTCATCCTTCAAGGCCTCAGATCAAAAACAAGGGAAAGCAGAAAACATGAATGGCTCTGCAGGCGAAGGAGAGTAGGCAGCCCCTGTGTATGGCAATAAAGATAGTTTATAAGTTCTTGAAAGGATTATTTAGTAGTTTTCCTTGTACATACATAAGTAACAATTCTATTCCTGTTAATTTGTGTTATAAAATAATTGCATATATTTTAGATGTAGGGTGATCTTTTTATCTGCAGTGCAGTTCTAGAGTAAGTCTCGAGTCAATGTTTTTGCTAATGTTTAAGCTAAATGAAAGGGTTTCAGAGTGCAGTGGGCACAATTTCACTTCAAACTGGATTGGAAAGGTGAGAAATTTTAGTTGGTCTCATTGCTTTTGTCAACAAATTCCAAGATTTTTGGCAGTCAAGAGCTGAGGGACAACACTGATATAGCATTAGAATCTGTAACACAATATTGAATTTATTCAACTGTTATCCTTTTAATTGCAAGTAATTCCATTAATTGCTGCAGAAATTCATCACCCTAACCTGGCTGAGCTCCAGAAGAAAGTATGGAAACTAATTAAACATTGAGTTTTAAGGCAAAATGGTAAATTGCTCATTAGCCCCCTTGAAATTCTGATTTATTACTAGCAGAATAAAGTAATACTTGACTTCGCAGAAACTGGGTCGTAGCGTTCTTTCATAGTCTCACTGAAGTTGCTATAGTTTAGACATCAATTAATTGGTCATCATTTTTTTGCAGCAGTACACTTGTTTGGTTTAACCTGGCAACTACAGCCTGTGGAAGGGCAGCTGTATGAAAATGGAGTTAGCAAAGGAAATAAAGGAATAGAATCCATGGATACTACTTACTCACCAATCGGTGGAAAAGCTTCGGATAAAACGGAAAAAAAAGGTACGTGTAAATGAGAAGCCAGACGGATAATGAATAGTTAAACATTACTGCTGTTCACATCCTTCATTTTCTACATTTTGACAGTATTTTGAGTTCAGGTTCTTCTTTACTATAATTTTAGAGCAGGTATGAAAACCCATAACCAGATAGGTTCCTTTAGCAGAACTCTCACTGAAATTAGCAACCGGCCCATTAGAAAAGAAGGTTCAGTAGCACAGTGAGGGAAGAGATGAGAGTGTTTGGCTTCTGTCCTAAGACAAGGGAGACCATATTTGCCTTGTTCCCTCTTGTGCAGAGGGCATGATGCTGTGCCTGTCTTGCAGACCAAAGTCAGTCTCAGGCAAAGGGAACCTCTTTGTATTGACAGGTCAGAATGTGCAGAAGAGTAGAAATTCTAATGCTTTTCAAGGCGTCTAATTCTTGAAGGCGTTAGCTAAAGTACAGGGTCCTGTCACATCCCAGCTGACCCAGTCACAGTGAATCAGTTCCCAGGAATCTACCACAGCTTCACAAAATGCCTGAGCCAGTCTGGCAGCTCCCTGCTACCAGGGGCACAGCCCTGCTCTGCCCTCCCACCTCCCTGTGCAGCTTGCTGTGTCCCTGTGCCCACTGCAGGGATTGTCTCCTGCACAACCTGGCCACGTCAGTCCTTCATGGCAGCAGAAAATTGCTTTGTTAAAGAATGCAAATCATCTTCTGCCAAGGAAGTGGCTGAACCAGACCTCTTGAGGTGCCAGAGCTAGGATAGGAAAGGAGTGGACCGTGCAGCGAGGGTGTGAAGCAGAGAAAAGAAACTGTTTGAGATGTGCAATTCCTTCCTCTTAAGTCCTGTCATTCAATGTTGTTAGATCACCTGCTCCAGTACTAGTGGCAGGCTCTGGCCCATGCTTCCCATTGACCATCGTGACAATGCTTTCTGACCATAAAAAGCAGATGGCCTTCCCATTTCTTTTTATGGTACTCAGAAAAAGTGGATGAATCAGATCAAAGTGGATGGGAGTGGAATATGAAACCTAATCTTTCCAATTGTTAAGGGAAAAGTAAAATTGTACTGGTAGCTCTGCAGTGATCAGAGACTTCCAGTGATTTCAAATTTTAGAGCAGAGCAGGGATCTGATTTTGTGTGTTCTGAGTAAGATCCATGGCTGAAAATAGGCAACAAAGCAGAACATGTTACACCAGTCCCTCCAGGAAGAAGATTGTACTGCACATCAATAATCTTGCAAATCAGTGTGGCACAACTGGACAGAGATCATATGAGATAAATGAACAATAGAAATACATGTAAGGAGACGATGTTGTTTTCCATTTCATCCCTTAGAGTGGATTTGTAGTGAGTTGCAGAAAATGTTTTATACACTTTTGTATTTTTGTCCTGGTGCACCATGGAAAATCTCAAACAGTTGTTTTCAACTGCATTAAATCATTTTGCCAATCTATTACAGATTTAATGAAAGCTTTTCCAATGCATTTGGCTTCCAAAGAAGGATGTATAGAAAAAACATCCTAAATATCAAAAATCTTAAAAAATTAGATGGTTGGAAACAGAGAAAAGAATATGCAAGTCAGTAAGACTGAGTGTAGTAGGTAAAAATGCAAACCACCTGCCTCACCCCTGAAAATCCCAGTTTTTAGCCACCAACTCCCCCCAACACTAAAGAACAGAGTCCTGTGATAGCAAAGCCATTTCACTGAGGGCTTATCCAGCAGTTTCAGAGGTCAGTCATAAAGAGACTGACACTGTTCTCTCACTTGTCCCCTTTCACCTTGTGGGGGTAATGTGTAATCCAGAGTTTAAGATAGCAAGGAGTATACACTTGGGAAAACAGAAGAAAAATCATGTGGAATTAGTACATGCATGGTGTGATTCTGGCTGCTCTTTTCTCATTTTCTTTCTTTCCATCACTTTTAATATATATCATTAATTTTATTCCCAGTCCTCGTAACAAATTCTCCATCTAGAAGTGATGAAAAGGAGCACTTGGAAACAGGCAACTCCTTTCCTTACAGCAGGATACCACAGAAGGTTGATGCTTTGCCTGTAGACTTGAAGCCTCTGATGTAATTTCACATGGATAAATAACTGCTGTCAGATACTGTGACCACCTCACATTTTCTCAACTCAATGCAGCAGCACAGAATGCTTTTCCAGACTTTGAGAGCATATATTTTAAACTAATATTTTAATGAAAATTAGGTTTATAAGCCAGCAAGTCAGATTTCTTTAGGAAATTTCAGGAGATTTCTTCGCTTTATGTAACACACTGACCCACAGCTATGAGTTAACATTTTAATATGTAGTAATGTGATTAAAAAGTCAGATATCCTATTGATGCCAGTATTTACCAGGAGAGTACAAGGAAATTGATTGTTTCAGGATCAGTAATAATAAGCATATGAGTATATTTTTGTGGAGGTCATTGGCACCATGCTGTTCAGAGTTTTTCTTTCTTGAAACCAAGAGAAACCTGTGATTAGGAATCTATCTTCTGTTTCAGACTTCTAACGAAACTGTGCTTAGAAAGCATAGCAGAGAATTAATACCCTAGCTGGCAAGATTGGGAGCTGTACAAGGAATTGAATATAGATAATTAAATGATACTTTGTTATACAAAAAAGGTTTTTACAACAAGAGCAGAATTGTATTGCAGCACTGTAATTTTAAAAGCTTATTTTGGACTTTTTCAAGAATGAGCAAGGAAGTACACAAGGATAGTCTGTGAGGAGTGTGTTTTCAGATGCCTTTTTTGTATAGCCAAATACCTGCTTAGTTCAACTAAACACAGAAACAAAGCTAAATTATTTTTCTGTAAAGAAAGCAGAGTGACTCAGTGAATATGAAAATATGCATTTCAGATGTGACTCCTACAACAGCATTTCCATGCTCTGTGGTTGTTTGAAAAATTAGCATTTGAAAGGTAGAGATTCTGCAACTGCATACTGTCAGCAGGAGTAGATAGCATGTGTATTTTCTGGTTAGCATTGTGAACAGCAGCATGCAGTTCTCTCCCAAGGGATGAGATATATATACATCTAACTCCATCTGGGGGTTTTTTTATGTTTATATTTAATTATTGCTAAAGCAAAGGTATTTTCAGCTAAATGTGGCAAAATTCCCGAGGTACGTCACAACACTAATTTGATATTCAGCATAATTTGATAACATCAATTAGGGAGAATTCACCCAGGCTGAAGACATAACACTTTTTCTTTTCAACAAGGAAACAGACCTTCTTACTCAAAAATACAAGAAGTAGTTACTGCATGCTAAAGACCTTGAACAGTGACCAATAATGTCTTTAACTCCAAAAATTATACTGTATCCTTGACTTTTTATTTAGTGCTTTACTGTCCTGTAATTGAATCATATTAATTACCATGTGTCAATACCATCAAAAAGTACCATAGTGTTTTACTTAACCCAGGGTAATTGCTTGTAAAGAATCATTAATATTTAATATCTCTAGAGTATTGGAAATAGGGGAGAAGGTTTTTAAATTTACATAAGCCTCCCCTCCCCTCTCCTCTTTTATGGGTTGGGGTGGAAAGCGATCTACTTTCACTGTACAACAGAGAAAGTTTAATTCTCTTTTCAAAACTCAATATTCAAGATTTTTTCCATGAAACAAATTGGGAAGAAGTAGTCTCACCTTGAACATTGTTAAAGTAGCAATTTGAAAATATTTTAACTCACAAACTAACTGGTGTATTTTTAGAGTACTAGATTACAAGTTTCTACTCTAAAAATAGATGTATTTATGTGGTGAGGTGTTATAAGTTAGCCCCTCATTCTTGCTGTGGGTTTGGTGACACAAAGCTGCTGTAAAGCTGGAAGATCTGGTACCTTGAGAATTGCTCCTGCCTTGTAAATTAAATATCTATTCATTAAGAATGCTAAGTACTTCCTACGCTAGTTAAAGCCTATGTAAGGTCCCACTGAGGGTCTTTGTTATTAACACACTCAGGCAAAAGCTTTACTACTGCTGTTTTAATTTTCAGGGGTGATTTATAAAATTTCACATATATTATGTTGGATATTTTTATGCATTTATTGTAAAAGATGAGGCTCCAGTCACTTTGCTCCTTATTATTTTTCATTGTGATTATGGAATGAAAGGAAACAGATGTGGCTGCTGAATTCAATCTTCTCTTGAGTTGTCCTCTAACACCACACACTATCCTGCTTTTATTCTAGTTCAGAGTATGGAAATGTCAGTAGAGTCTTAGAAACCTTTAAACGGAATTAACTCAAATGTTAGCAGGATTGGGTCTGTGATTTGCAGCGTGGCACAATGCTGATCACAGACAGGAAGTAAAAAATATAAAGATGATGATATAAGCCAGCAAAGTAAGCCAGCTCCAATTTAGTTTGGCAAAGTCTTCCTTATGCATTCCGTTTCCCTTTCTGTTTCAGTGCTCTCTCACCCATGTGTGAAGTTACATATTGTTTAGATAGATGTCTGCAAATTTATTGTTCAGCATTATGAAATTATGCCAGTTTTGTCTTCAGAGTGCCTTTCCCTGTCCTCGTGCCCCTATTACACTTTCATGAAGAAAGACCAAGCCAGAAGAGATGTTCTTTATTTCTCCAGGACTAGATTAACACTACCATAATAAAACCATTAGGAATGGTGATTAATAGAAATCCAAGCTTTGGACAGGGGCTCTGAACTACCAGATTTGACAGATTTTCTGTCCTCACTAGGGTCCATTTGTGTAGCTTCTGCAATGTCCCTTCAGCAGCTGTCTGAAACATGTGCCAGAGGAATAATTTCCCACTGTCCTCACTCTGTGTATTCACAGTTGAATGTGTTTTGTTTGCATAGTTGATGGGCAAAGACCATCACAGTAGATCAGTACACAGCAGCAGTTCCACCTTTTCATAATCTGTACAGTGTTACAAGATTTCCAGCAAAAAGCATTACAAAAATACCCCATAACACCTGTTGTTGGAAATATATTGTACATGTTCATTTGTGTTTTCCAGCTTGTTGAATAAAAAATGCAGTTATTTGTGTTAGAAGTTGATTTTTGTATATTCCAGTATATCTAAGGCATGTTTATACTTTTCTTCACCCAGTGTAAATACTCAACTGACTATTTGCTTGTTTCTGGAAAATTAGTGTTTCAGAAGGGCCAGGCCATAGACACAGGAGAAGTAGAGATTGGAGCACAAGTTATGCAGACCATCCCACCTGGTTTATTCTGGCGCTTCCAAATTACCATCCATCACCCCATGTACCTGAAATTTAACATTTCACTGGCAAAGGATTCTCTACTGGGAATTTATGGCAGAAGAAACATCCCACCTACTCACACTCAGGTAACTGGAAATTATCCTGATTCTATCACTCTTACATTTTTAAACAGCAGTGGACAGGAGTGTTCACAACACACTTTCAAACCAGAGAGGAAGGAAAGGACTGGCTGTAACCACAGTCTGGTTACCCTTTTCTTTTACTGAGCTCTAGCAATACCTCAGACCGTGCTCTCTCAGAGGAAGGGGCAGTGTTGTACCAGACAGGTCAGCAGCTGTGACTGCAGGGATGTGACTGTCTGGAGGCTGGACACACACTGTCCTGTTGCGTAGATACAGCATCTTCTGTGCAAGGGATGACATTCCATTTCACTTGAAACTGCTTTAATCTTTTTATGAGTCCCTTAAAACAAACAGATTATACAGTCAGTATAAAGAGTTAATAGAAAAGAAAAAAAGCTGTCTCTGGTTTCTAAGATCAAAATTATTTTTGAGTGCTTACTCCTGGGGATTTTGCAAGAGAAAACCTAGTTAAGCAGTCATACGCTATATTGCTTGGTGGTCACGTTGTTTATAATGGACCACTGGAGATCATCTACTCTAACCTCAAATTTTTTTACTAGAGTTTTGATATTAGAAATAAGCACTTTTAGCTGTCACTGACTTTAATTGAATCTGTATCTTCAGTTGAGCTGACAATGAACTTTACTGAAAATCAGAATACCTAAAAAACCTAGAGAAATATATATATATATATTTCTTGAACAAGGATTCATAGGAATCTCTGATGCTTTGAGGTTAACAGGCATTAAAGTTGTCAGCATCAACTTGTATTACTAAAATTAAATATAAATAAAAAGTATATTTAGGTTTTGATATCTGACAGTGATATTAAGGGACAAGGATTTAAAAATCTGGTATAGAAGTGTTGTTCTACAGGTTTTTAATCTGCTCTTGGCATTTGAGATGAATAGCTGCATAGCACAGGCACTACACCTTGGGAATTTTGTAATTACTCCCTTTAGAGAGATGCAATTTTTGGAGTAAACCTACTGTATCTTGTGCAGCAAGTCTGATTTTACCCTGCCATAGCAAACAGCTGTGCCAGTTTTGATGCCATGTTTCTGACCTACAGTAATGCTTTTTATATGTAAACGGAAGCTAAATTGACTAGGTTATGCAATTGCTATCCACATTGGTGAATACTTGGGCAATTCCTCTTAAGATTTTGACTGTTTATTCATGTTTAAAGGAGACATGCAGAATAGATTAATGAATATTTGCTAGGTTGTTAATTTTTACTCATTATTATTTCAGTTTGATTTTGTAAAACTGATGGATGGAAAACAGTTAATTAAACAGGAACCAAAAAACTCAGAGGAGTCTCAGCAAGCTCCCAGGAACCTGATCTTAACTTCACTGCAAGAGACAGGTTTCATCGAGTACATGGATCAAGGAGCTTGGCATATGGCATTCTACAATGATGGAAAGAAAGTAGAGCAAGTGTTTGTACTAACTACAGCTATTGGTAAGAACAATCACAGTATAATTGTTATTCTGATTATTACATTGCAAAGATGTATTTTATGTATTCCAGCTCCTCTTAAGTATTCTCTTAAGTATGTTTTATTCCATCTTTGTTTACTTAACCTCAGTGGAGCAACATTGTGTCTAAGCCAGTATTAGATAAATAGCAACATTTGTATATTAAAAATGGAAGTTATCAAATTAATTAGGTGTGAAGTTACCATGTGTTAAGATTTTTATGTGATATCTTAAATGCTTGAATGATTTCTGGTACTTTTTCAAGTAAAAGAGATATCTGCCCTCTCTACTTATGTGGGCTGTAAATCCTTCAAAAATTATCCAGGCTTTAAGTTCTCATTTCCAGTGTTTTAGTCAGTTGAAAGTTGAAAAATCTTTTGTGGATTTGTTTGTGAGTGTTTGATGGATGGATGTTGTTTTATGCAGTTATTCAAATGCATCATTTTGTTTGGAATACAGAGGACAAATACAGGAGGCAATGTCCTGGTTGCATATGAGATTCCTCCTGCCCTTTGAACATGTATAGGTGGGAAAGTGTTTGCAGATGTAGGTGTTGTGAGTGAGCAGTCCTTGCACATGGGGCTTTTTTGGAATTTAAATTTAGGTAAAGTGTTGTATTTATGACAGTCTCGGTTTGCTGCAAGACTTTAACCACTATACCCTTTAGTTAACCTGTTCTACCATATGTTTAGCAAGATGTCTTTACTAGTAATGGATGTGCCATCTGCTCTTCAGAAGAAGTGGATACTATTTTTATTTCATGGTAAACACCTTGCAGAGCAGGACAGTATGATTCAAATATCAAGGTTCTGAAGGACTTGCATAAAAGAAAAAAAGTAGAAATTGAGATAGAGTTGTTCTGGTGTAACATTTCATATTTGCTCTGTTCAAAAAAGTTAAACTTCTGCAAGAAATATGCCATTATTCGATTCCATCTTAGAAAATAAGATTCAGGCAATTTATGAAGGTTCTTTGCAGATGCTCTACAAAGACCACAAAACCTGGCCAAACTCCAGCCCATCCCAGTATCCAAATTCCTGATCCTTTGTTTTTATTATTGTAAGACAGCAGGGTTTATACACAAGAGTTTAAATAACATTTCATTTAGTAGCATAACTTCTACTCCCCCCTCCCCCCACTAAAAAAAATGAAATTAATTGCCAGAGTTTAATTCATGTTGCTTGTGGTAAAAAAGTTGTCCATCCCTTCTGTGGCCAATAAGCAGAAGAGACTGTGAAAGAGGGAAGTATGTGAGCCACAGTGCAGACAGGAATCCTTGTACTTCATCTTCAGAATGGCTGCAAGAGGATATTTTTGGGAAAAAGTCTGTTCACACTGCTGCAAGAATCTACTGCTGGTGCATTTGAAAATACTGCCAGCTATTATGTTTTCATAACCTGTGTATCTTCTCCTAGTTTTCAAGCATCATAACTTGATTGTTTCTTTGGGGATGTCCACAAAAAAAAAAAAAATTCTTGAGGCATTCTTCTTATTCTAACTCAGACTGGTCTGGAGTCATATTTGACATCTCTGCCAGCAAAGGAATCAGCCAGGACCAGAAACCCTGAGAACAGAGCTTGGATGCATCTCTGCCAAATGCTCCTGTGAACCAGCCTTCATCATTATCTTTTTGATTGTATTTCAAGATGCTCCATGTTAGTTATGTACAAAATTGATTTTTCTTACACTTTACTGAAATTCTGATCAGACTTTCCCAAGAAGGGCAAATTGCATGCAAAAGTCAGCATGCTTCAAGTACTTCTGTTAACCAAATAAAGGGTAACCCAAACTGGACATTGCATTGAAGGGAAGTAACTTCTCAAACCATTCATACTTCATTTCAGGTCAATGTAGGGATCATTTGCCATTTGATTCTAGGAAAACTGAGAGAAGGCAGGCAAATGCACACATAGAGCAATGGAAGAGTTGATAGTGAACAGTATATATAAAGCATTTCTGTGAGAAAAACTTCCTTCTAAAAATGAGCTGGTTTTTTTTAACTTCAAAACAGACATCTGTGTACAGGTTATGGATATATGATGAAAAGATTCATATCAAATGCCTGTTCTTTAGCATAAACTGATAGCCTGAGAGGAATGCATTCAAATAACCATAGGAGATTTTAAGAACCAATCCTTATCTAAGTGCTCATAATTCAGATCAAAGTACACTTATATTAGTTGTTTTTATTAATTGTAGGTTCTGGGTTTTCTTATCTTTCCTCAATTATTTTTTGGGAAAGACATCAAGTTTCCCATTATCCTATAGCCAGAGGTACTTTGCCATATATGTTAGTGGATGTGGTCATTGGGCAGTCACATTCCCTGGCTCCAGAGCCTCTCTCCCATCCAGCAGCTGCATGGGCTGCAGAGTCCTGGAGCTGCTGTGACCGTGACCTACTTCATACAGGATCATCTTAGCTTGAATTTACTTCATATTCTTTATTGGAAATCCATATAAATCAGTGAATCCACTGCATTCCTGTAGAAAATATGTGTTTAAATTTGAACTAGCTAATCCCTGTACAGATAGGAGCCTCTCCTCAGATGTGTGAAGTTAAGTGGCCCAATATACAAAGCTGTTTGATAAAACATGGGAAAGTTTAAGGCCAGAACTGAAGGTGGGTTTTTTCCTTCAAATCTAGTTCTTAGTTCTTTATCACATTAAATTTCATCACTGTACAAAATATTATGGTTTTGTTTATCTGATTGTATAGAAGTGGAAATCCTGCCCTTCTCCAAGGGATTCAATTCACATGGTTCAAATGAGCACCATAGAAGGCAATTTACTCTATAAACAGGTTTCAAACAAATTACTTCAGCAAGAAAAGAAAGTGTTTAAGGTGGACATTTTTCAGCAAATACTAAGGTTCCTGCAGTGCTTTTAATGGTGGTAAATTTTCCATGAACACTTACTTTAAAAGCTTTTTGGTGTAATATAAATGATGCACCTGTTATCTCAAAGCTGTCAAGAAAAAATCTAATAAATATTTGTAAGCTGCTTGAACAGGAATTTTGTTTTATGCTCCCTATGAATGAAAATGGGCTTTTTACTGCTTCTGCACCTATTTGTATTTTGAGATGTGTCCCGCAGAGTGAGGTGAAGATGCCATTCATTTTGATTCAACCAATTTATGTTTTTCTTTGTGCACAATTGCCTAAATAAACAGAAATTCTGGATGACTGCTCTACTAATTGCAATGGGAATGGAGAATGTATCTCAGGCCACTGCCACTGCTTCCCAGGATTCCTTGGTCCTGATTGTGCAAAAGGTAATCTCATATTAACTGACCCATGGTGCATGACAGGGATCATGATTATAGTGTGTGACTGCTGGGCTTGCAAAGATTCAAAGTGATTAAAGGAGATTAAATTCCTTTTTCCAGCCAGATGGCAGATACAGTACAAGCACACATGTGGAAAGTTTCTTTATGCTGTACTTGAGTCAACAAGGATCAACCACTTCTCTCTCCCTGACTTTCAAATTTAATAGGTTCCTCCATCCACCTTTGCATGCTGTCTGTAATTATAAAATACATTTTTTAGTAGGTGTGTTAGCATAGCATAATGTTTTCTGGTATTTAAAAGTCACAAACAGTTTTACTTTGGAGAAAACATAAGTAAATCAAATGCTTCTGTGGTCTTAACATGAATAGGGTGTAGATAAGAAACTTAAAGCAGCTTAGAGGCAGTTTTCCAGCATTAAGGCAAAAAAAAAAAACGTGTTAAGTGAGCTTCTGTTTCAGATATTTCTGTCTGTATTATCCATTATCTGCTGTATGTGATGTCTAGAAATTCTCATGATTTCCCAATGTCTCCTCAAATGTAGGGTTTATTTTTTTAAGGCTTAATTGGCTCAGAAATTGATACTGGATTGTAAAAGTAAGCTTCCACATTGCTGATTTACATATAGATCAGTAATGGCTACAATTCTAATTATATTATGTCTTCTTAGAAGAAAAAGGAAAAAGGCAGGATCTTGCTTCAGTTCACAGGAAAGAAATATTAATCTTACTGAAATTCAGGCATCCCTGCAAATTTTCGGCAGAGGCCAATCAAGGGGAGAGATTTTTTCATCTTCTAAGCTATCCCATTTCTGGTCAAAATTAAGGTATACGAGAGAGCCAGACTGAGGAGACAAGGACACTGTATTACTGCTGCACTACCTAGTTCAAAGATTTCAGTCTGTTACAACCCTTGAACCAAATGAAGAATTGAGGAGCTGGAGTGGAAAAGCAATTTTACAGAATGATAAATGCAATAAATGTTAATCTATGTAAGTATGTAAATATGTTAAAAAGGTCAATCTGCCTTCTTCAGATTCCTGTCCAGTGCTGTGCAGCGGAAATGGAGAATATGAGAAAGGTCACTGTGTGTGTCGAAATGGCTGGAAAGGACCAGAGTGTGATGTTCCAGAAGAGCAGTGTATTGATCCAACCTGCTTTGGCCATGGTACCTGTATCATGGGCGTCTGCATCTGTGTCCCTGGATACAAAGGAGAGATTTGTGAGGAAGGTTTGTGAAGTTTCCTCTCTATAGTCAGGGGTGTTGATTTTTGTCTTTAATTTCCACCTATGGTTTAAGGTAGTTAAAAACTCACAGAGATGTGATCAGCTTTCTGTGAAACAGTACTATTTTGCTCAAAACTACCTTCCTGTCTCACAGAAAGTAATGTTAAGATAGAAAATTTTCAAAAGTAACGGTATTCAGGTCTTGGTAACAGTCCAGTGGACTGATCACATAAAGTTCACATTTTTATTTTAAAAGATAAAATTATTTTTATTTGGCCAAAAGCTCAGGGTAAAGCAGTCAGAAGATCATTTAAACAACATGATGTGGTAGTTTTCCAAAGCAATCAGCTTTTCCCTTTTCCATTCTGTTACAACTTAGATTTTTCTGACAATATAAAGCCAAAAGGGCAGCAAATAGGTTAATTTACCAGAACATATTGTGTAATTCTGTTGTCATATGTCAATTTTACTGGGAGCCTTTGCTCACAGCACTAAACTGGCATCCTCTAAGGCTTGGCTAACAAAAAGTGGGAAATTCTGTGGGAAGAAGCTACTGTATTTTTGCTGGTATGGCAGTGATGTGTCTCTACCCTCATCTATAAACAGAAGCAGTTGTTTCCCTCAGCATGTCTGAGATAGCTCATCAGCTTTGACTTTCTTCCCTTGTGCATAGCCTCAGAAAGCAGAACTCTTCCTTGTGCTTCCCTGATTTGATGATTTTTCACTAGTCCCCTTAGCCTGGAGCTACTGACAGCATACTTTGTGCTTCCTGCAACAGAGATTTTCAGTAATTCTTTTGAGTAGCACACACAAGAGGCTTTTTATGTTGCTTGAATTCTCTAGTCAGAAAAATGTCCAGGATGAATTTGATAGATTTGACATACCTGGAATAGTTTTTAAAGGGAGGATCAAGAGAATGCTTCTGACATAGTCAATTGTTGGTAGTTTCAGAAACCAAGAAAGCCCAAATGGGAAAAAGCAAGTAATATACAGATTTCCTCAGTGAGGCCATGATGCTGAACAAGCCTGTAGATAGTGAGAGGCTGACTGCTGTTTTTAGTTGATTTGTCTCTTGCCATAATGAGATCATGCAAAGTGGTTGGGGGAAGAAAATGACATAAATGTACTCAGACAGCTATTGAAGCTAAGAGTAGGAAAGCATTAAATTTTTCTAATAAGAAACTTATTTAAATTTATTTTTTAAAAAAGGTGAAATTATGTAGAAATACAGAAATATGGTGGATGGAACAAACGCATGTAACCAAGTATGGTGGGTTTTTATTGTAACACTGTGTCCTTGACATGACTGTTCAATTTGTATTGTAAAACATAAGTTGTGCAGTAGTTAGGGAATTCTGTCAGGAATTAAGATTATTTCATTATATGTAAACAAGATTTAGTCTTATAGCAGTGCTCTTAACAGATACAGCAATAGATGTACTGTTCAGGGAGCACCAGTAACTGCATGTACTCATTGCTATGGGGGTCCCTCAAATTTGTCCTGCAAGATTACCATTCCTAAAATGGAGTCACTCTATTAATTTTAAAATATCAGCAAAATAAAGAGGTGTCTCAGGATGAGAGAAAATTGCCATGTATTTTTGTCCTATGCTTAGCAAGATGTGCATTGTCCAGAAACACTGATTCTGTCTCAGAATTACACTGTGCTGTGCACAAGCCTGGAAGGCTGAAAAAGATACAAAATAAATACTGAAATAAGATGTTTAATTGGTGGCAAAGCAGTTCAAAAGATAAAGCTTTACTTCTTTATTTTTAGGTTGAAAGGTCCTATAAACAGGAGGCCATTAATTTCTATGATTGAAGTATTTAGCCTTCCCTTCCTGAAGCAGAAAACATCTCTTCATTCCCATAGCACAGGATACTATTTGTTAAGTTTACAGTTTAATTGTTAAAACAGTACTTGTGCTTACACTTGAGAAATACATAGCAAAATTTTCAGAGTGGCTCTTTTAGATCAGTTTGAAGCATGATATAACCTGGATAGACTTCTGGCTAATTGTTTCCCATGCTCAGACCCCAGAGATCCTTCAGCTCTACAGTCTTCCTGCAGCCTCCAGGGAAGGCTGGCTGCTTTCTGCTTAAAACCTGTCTTGTTAAAGCAGTGCTGGGGCTTTGTGAAAGAATATGTTGTTCCATACAGCACTAACCAGCTTATTTAAATTCCTCTACAGAGCTCCTGAATTTTTCACTAGGAATAGTTTAATCCAAATTGAGAAGAAATTTAGTTCTTTGTTTGCAAATTGTTCATCAGTACATTATGGCTTTTATGAAGCTGTTCATTACCTGCAATTGCACAGCACACATTTTTTATGTGTATGGGAATTTTTTTTTTACAGCTAGCATTGAGTCAGAGATTCACTACTCAATCTTAGGGGATAACCTTTTTTTTTGTAGCAAATTTTCATCTATAGAGATAGCTTTTCACAGGAAGGTGAAAGAATAAATCTTTCTTTTTCCAGATGTAAATAAAACACAGTCCACAAATATCCAAATGGAAGTACAAAGCACAATTACAGAAATAACAATTAATTACTCCAGCTGTTTCCCAGCCCTACTACTGAAGCACAGACTTCACCAACGCAGACCAATCAATCTGTCCTGGGAATCTGTGTTTTAAAAATAAGAGAAAATCCATTACATGATTCATATGACCTCTAACAGTCTAAGTGCTTGCTTTTTTTCTTGTTTTCACTTATCCTTTTGCCCAGAAGTTAACAGACTGATTTTCTCTTGTGTTTGTTAATATTGTTCCAGTTGGGTATTTGCACAAAAAAATCATCAAATTAATCTAAATCCCTGATGTATTTCACTAGTAAATAACTGCAAAGGTGTGAATTTTGTGCTCTAAGTTGTATATTCCCTGCTTTCCAGAGGACTGCCTGGATCCAATGTGCTCTGGCCACGGTGTGTGCGTCCAAGGGGAATGTCACTGCTCCACGGGCTGGGGCGGGGTGAACTGTGAGACAGCGCTGCCCGTGTGCCAGGAGCAGTGCTCAGGGCACGGCACCTTCCTCCTGGACACGGGACTCTGCAGCTGTGAGCCACAGTGGACGGGTCCAGACTGTTCCACAGGTATGATGGACACTTGGCTTTGTCAACATTGCCTATGCTTTCTGCTGGAGTCATGAAAGAATGTAGTTGCTGTTACTGTGCTAATAAGAATTTAAAAAACAAGATGGGGGTGAACCAGGAGTACTGTGGCATGGCACTTCATGGGCTTGTTAGCAGCTGGCTTTCAGTTGCCAAGGATAAGAAATGCATTTTCTCTGTGACAAGAATGTTTCTGCCTGGTGGCGTGACATTGAAAACAGTAGTCCTGCAGGAGGGCAGATGCCTCCTGACTTGCACTGTATGACTAGGCAAGTATGACTCTCACCTGAGCTGCTGAGCACCTGTCAGGGATTGCACCTCATGCAATTGGGGAATCCACAGTTCCGAGAGAGACTGGGAAGATAAATTTAAAAAAAAAAAATCCAAACACAATGATGAGTAAGAAAGCTCTGTCAAAAAAATCTTTAAACAAAAAAGACCATAATTGTCTCACATTAGGATAAAAATTCTCTTCCTCCTTAGAGGACCATGAAGGTTTGATCCCCCTAAACTTGATTAAGAGTTTAAATGGATTTCCTACATGCTTTATACATTTACATTTCATTTTCTTGAAATGAATGCACTCTGCACATTTGGTTCTGTAATGGAGCATGTTATTACCAATGTAGGTGCTACTGTTTTTTCCCCTGTAGAGCCCACAGAGCTAGAATCTCACATGATAAGCAGCACATCCCAGTAGAGAATAGATGCAAGTGACAGATCTGCTGAATACTGTGGAATACAGCCAGTGGTCCAGTTCACCAATTTGTCTTAGAAATCATCATTCAGAAGAGCACTTGGAACAGTATGAATTTCTGCTCCAATCTTTAAAGTGTGTGATTATGATATTTAAGTGGGGACTTATAAAATGTTCCTCTACATGATGAATTTTTAAGTAACAAAATATTTACCTGCTAATAATTTTTGGTATTTGTTACAAGGACCTTGCATTCATTCTACACTCCAAAATTAATGTATGGAGTTTTAGTCTGATACTGTCAGATATGGCACCTGCTTTGATAAGAATTGACTTTTTATTGGTTTTCACCAAAAGCCTAGTTGCTTGCATTTTTATCCTGTATTTTATTTCTTATTGAAAATATTCTCTGAAGCTTAGTATAACAGTAGTATTTCCATTAATGAAACAAATAATTAGGAGAGGTGTTAGCTATGTACTAATTTTTTACTCACAAAATACTGCAAACTAATTCTTTTTTAATACAATGTTATTGTAGCTCATAAAGCAATATTAGTCTCAGATGGGTCTGTTGTGTCAGCTGCATGGGGCAGTTAGATATTAAGTGAGGAATCAAAAGGCTAATAATAACCTCCAAAGCTGCTTTGAACATTTTTGGAAGGAAACCTCTTTACCTTCATCAGAAGAGAAAGTACCTCTCTTCATCCCTACTGTATCCTGAGTTATCAAAGGATGCTTTTACAACTACCAACAGGCAGCAAAGCCAGATGCTTCAGACTTCTTTCAAATATATGTTTCTTCTTAGGTGTTAGACTGGATTGAGGCTGCTCTAGGAAGTACAGTGAGTGTTAGACTGAAGTATAGTTGTTCATTAGTGCCTGAGATGTTCCTCCTAGGATCAGTGATTGCTGTGCATGTTGAAAATAAAGCTTGATTTTAGTGAGTAATGAAAACATCAAATGAATAAGAAGGAAACATAAGAGGACTAACAAGGTCACAATAAACAAGTTGTCACATGTGAATGGAGAAAGTCACAAGGTTCTGTACAATGAAGAGGATGAAATGGGTAAAGCACAGACTGTTTAGAGTCAGACAACAGCAGAGCTTTGCAACTGAGAGACCAGCAGTCTCAGCCTGCCTCAAACACTTGCACTTTGCCATCTCTGTATCACATCATTCTCAGTGCTGTGAAAATTTGCCTTTCTGTAGCACCTTGAAGAATATAGGCTCTTGTCCTGAGGATTTCTGTGTTCCCCAGCAAATTCCAAATACTTTCAAAATACAAGGATACTTTGTATCAAGTTTCATGTGATTTTTAAAATAGAAGTTAGTATATCCTGGCAGACTTAAAAATGGAGAAGGAACAAAGGTTCTAGAATGTTTTTGAATATATTGTTCCAGATACAGTGCGGCCCAACCTGAAGAGGGATGAGCCACCTCTATGATACCTTTCCCTACCTGCCTGTCTCTAGCTCCTCAAATGATATAAACTTCCATTTTAAAAGTGGCAGACTGGGGAAAGACAAGAATTGGTATGGGTGGAAGAGAGATGAAGAGTGACTATGACCCATGCATGTCCTTAAGAATTGCCAATGTTTGAGGGCCCAGCCTGAGCTCTGGAATCATTCATGGATTTTTTCAGGCTGGAAAAGACCGTGTTGTTCATGTTGTTGGATTTTCTGTAGAACATTACCAAAAAATAACAATCATCCTTCAGTTTTTGCTTGACACTCATAGTTTCTGTTTAGTTTATTGAAAGTGAAGCTTCATACAAAGACTTGAAAAAGAAGGGTAATCTACCATTTCCTAGATAAATTGTTTCAATTATGTCTGGCCCTCTCTGCTAAAAAGTGCCCCTTCCACTCCTAGTTTGAATAACTGCAGTCTTGCTATCATGTTTCTTTCTGTGAGGTGAAAGGCAAATTACTTGAAGTCCTTTCCACTGTCCAGCCTGATCTCTGTTCTGACCTGTGGACTGACATAACTCAGTATCACTGCACCACCTCCAGATACTCCTGCTGTTTCCAAAGTTATTGCTGGACAACTGCCATCCCTTGAGGGCCAGAAAATCCTCTTGCAGAACTCCAAAGCAGCTGTCAGGATATGTTTTCATTGTGTTTAAATTGTTTCTCAATAAAAGCAGCTCAATATGACTTGAAAGTTGTTCAGCCACTTAGTATTGCTAATCCTATACTGCTTGTAGGACACAACTTAGGCTGGCTTTTTGTTCAGCTCTGTTAAGATCCATCCTTTCAATATCCTTAACTGGATATCTGTTTCAGATATATTTGTCATCTTTGTACCCTACAATATTGAACTTCCATGAAAAGTCATTTTCCTTTGTTAGCTTACACTTCAATTTACCTCTCCCAGAGATGACATGGTTTTCATTTATACTTTGCCTTGCTTCTTATTGGCATCTTTGTAAAGGCTCTTCCTATCAACTGACTACAAACATACAGATAATACACCTCTGATTATTCTGCCTTCTTTAGGCAGAATCAACTGAATTTCACCCTGGAGAGATTCTGGCAGATTTGTAGCTACACCAATCAAAACAACATTGCTGTGTCTTTTCTACAGCCATATGATCTCCTGTGATCCAGAGAAGAAATTTTAAAAGTACCTTCTTTCTCTCTTTGGTTTATTATATGGACAAGATCAAAGTGTTCTAACTGTTCTATATGGTTATAGACTGACATGTATTTACCATGAGGGAGATGGATTAGCCTGGTGTGCCAGTTTGCCAACTGGCCTGGATGCTGAGGGTCAAAAAGAAGCTATGGCTTTCACTGCTTCAAAATTACTCCAGTGTCAGAAATCAGAGAAGCCACGTAGAGTTATTCCAGCAGAGTTCTTCCAAGTCCTGTACCTGGGACACAGCTGTTAAAATTCCAGTGGTAAGAATCCCTAGCTTGCAGTCATTATTGAAGTAATGCAGTTGATTCTTCCATTCCTACTGGCCTGGGCAGACATTGCTTGCATCCTTTAGCTGTGGTGTAGTCCATGTTGAAATACACAGAGATCCAGCATCTTCTTCTGCACAAACTTCAATTCTTTAGTTGTTTTACTTGCCGTCCGTCGAACGGTCATCTGTCCTGCTTTCTTCAGTATTCTTTGGACTGTGCAAGGGATAAGGGGAGTTAAGTCCATTTTGCCTGAAGGGAAGCACAGGCATCAGGGTCAAGCTAAGCTGCTCTCAGTCAGAGATCCACAGACATCTCTGAGAAGAGCTGTCTTTCACCATTTTAATTCTCAAAGTGTTTCCAAGACAACAAGAAACAGCACCAGCATTGCTACAATTCTGCATTGTCCAAGATGTTCCCAGCAGTAGCACCAACCATATGGCAAATAGGTCATCTTCAAGTATTTAAATGGCTTCAGCTCATGCTAAAAAATAAAGAAAATGTGATTTCATCTTCTCTAATAACTAGCCTGTGAAAAAACAAATGCTTCTCTGATATAAAGCACTGAAATTAAAAATCCATAATCCTCACAACACAAAGGAACATATTCTGTTTTGGAATTAATTTGTTGCTATCTTGTTGCCACTTTCCCCACTTAATTTTAGTTTTTTCCTACTTTTTTCATCCTTTGGCAAGTCACACCAAAGTGCTCAAAGACATTTAGCCATTACCAGTTTAGCCATCTGACAGTAGAAGTGCCCAAGAGAAATGCACAAGAGACTGAGTTCCACTTCTCATTTAGTCTTCCCCTGCCTCTACGAGGTGGTGAGAACAAAAGTTTCATACTTTGTTCAAAGTCAGACTGATTACATAATATGTTTTGTGAAAACCAGCTGTAGTGAAAGAGGTCATCCTTGGAGTATTTCAGAGTCTCAACATCTTTACACCATGCTGAACCCTGTTAAGATAGTATGTGAAAATCCACTACCAGTCAGACCTTCAGCATACATCTCAGCTGACCTGTGCATAGGGGTGTGAGCTACCGGTACATGACACAGTCAGTAGGATGGAAGACTGATACTACACTATTTTAATGTCACCAGGACTTCAGTATAATCATCTTTCTACTTACTGTCTATGGATCTTTGTTGCTTTATTTATAAGCTGTCACCCCAAATACTTTGATGTTAATGAGTCATCTCCCCTTGAGGCGTCTAGGCTGTGCTTTTCAGAAAGAGAAAATCAAACTTGTGAGTACTGACTGCTCCTGTCAGGTAGAAGGGAAGCTCTGGCTAATTGAAGGTGCTCATCAACTGAACAAAAAAAACTCGTCTTCTATTCTCAGATTGACACCTTTAACGTGGAGCCTTGAGATTAAG